GGTCGTTGTTCTAAACAATTCAATATAGCATTTAAATCAGCTTGTTCATGTGTAACATATAACCATTGACAATCACTTTTTGTTGATGATGTTACAATTGGTGATGAAGTAAAAACAATTGTTCGACCAGAACATGATGAACTTGTATAATAATCATTATGATTATTTATTTGATTAATTAAATTAACAATATAATCATCTATAGAATGTTTACGTGATAAATCTTCTTTATCATTTGATAATGCATTTTGTTTCCATTGATCGAAATGTTTAGACATTTTGTTTTTTTTTTGTTTTTGCAAATAAATCAAAATCTACAATTATCATCTGCTTGATTTTTTTTTTGTAAAATGAAAAAGAAAAAAATACATTTTGTTACATTTTTTTTTTGTATCATTAGTATACAAATTGTATGATTTACAATATAAATAAAGTTACATATATAACGTGCTGTATTTTCGTTTGCCAGTCAATCTATTTCTTTTTGTAAGACTATTATTATTATTATTATTCAAAAGCGACACCAAGAAGAAAACCACCGATAAAGGAAGATGTTATAGCCAAATTTGTAAAAGCAAATCTTTTTAACTAAAATAAAAACAAAAAAAAAAGATACATATAAATATGAAAAAATTGATTTCTATTAAATTACATACTACATCAGTAATACTGGTTGAGGATTGATCAATAAATGTTTCAATCTCTTCTCCATCTATATTAGTTGTAGTTGTTGGTGGAAGAGCCGATCTCGCTGCATGTTGAACATTATTTAAATGTTGTTGTGCTGTATCACGAATTCGATCAAAATGAATATCAATATAACCGGATTGATTAGCAAGCTAGTACAAAACAAACAATATGTATATATATCTCAAAACAAAGTGGTGAATGTAGACATAGGCGGCAGAGCCAAGCATTTTAGATAGGCTGAAACATTTGTTTCTTGTTCTATCAGATTAATAGATTTATGCATTGCATTGAAATTCGTATGCAAGCATCAAGCTTTTTCAATGTCTTCGACGGTAAAGAGTAACACTTTTGTACTGAAGTAGACTTAGAACATATTCAACTTTTCTACGACGAAATGTTGGGTCCTACATTGCCAATGACTTGAAGTAATACTTCTTTGTAAAAAGTGAAGAAGAACTGCATCAGAAACTCTAGTTAAATAAACTAAAAGCTGTCGAAAGTTTTCGTCGCCTTCAGTGGATGAGCTTGTATATGTAAGAAATATATTCAACACAGAAAGCAAACACACAATGTAGTTCATTTTTGCTTTGTGAATACTACTGCTTTAACATCAGCCTATTTTTCAGTAAGATAGATCAAAAACACTTATTCTGATAGTTGAAATAAAATAATAACAAATATTGACATGTTTCTTTAAGTGCATATCTTTCGAAACAAATTGCGAATCTTTTCTCAACCGATTCAACTTTATATAATCTACAACATGAGTTGGAAATAAGAAGCATTAAATGTATTTCATCTGAATTGTATAAAAGGATCTCTTTATTCTTAAATTCCCAATAAGAATCTTATAAAGATTGTTCAGTCTACTCTAGATTTAAAACGTTTCATCACCTATGAATGTGGATAAAGAGTTGTGTGTGTCATGTAGAAGCACTCAAGAAGAGATACCAAAAAAAAACTACAACTTGAAAGAAAATTCGTGATCAAAAATACTTTTTCTCAAAATAATTCTGAAAAAAAACAACGAGAACTAATTATAATTGAAAATAATACTTACAGCTAAACCAATAATAGATGCACCAATAGCAAATGCCACCATTTTACTAGCTTTAGCAAAACAATATCCAGCTGCGCTATAATAGAGATTAACAATAACAATTTATTTATATGAAATGTCAAGGAACTTACATGCCCGAAAGACCACCCACAGCAGCTTGCCTTGGTGGACTTAATTGAGTAATTTCGTGAAGTGCACGTTCAATAATTTGATGTATTTTTCGATCATTATCATGTTCATGAAATGGAGTAGCAACTAAAATTTATAATTTTTATATAATTTAATATTGCTGCTAAATCAAACCTGTACGAGATTGAATAACTGCAGGACTTTGATAATTTTTATCTCTTGATTCCATGGTCAAAAAAAATAATAAAAAGTTCAAAAAAAATAAAAACAAAATTTGATCTACAAAAAGAAATTTTTCTTTTGTTAAACAAATTAATGGAAAAGATTTATAGAAAAAAAGAATGGAAAGAGAAAAATTGGATGGAATTCATTATAATTAATTAAAAGAAATATTCAATGAAAAATGTATCTATATACTGAGATTCATCATTGACAAATACCAATAACACCAACAGCAAGTCGATTAGTGCCAGCTGTAGTCGATCCTTTATTTTCTTCAGTTTCAACTCGTGTTAATTCTTCTTCTTTTTCATCAATAACTACTACTGATCGACCAATAATAGACGAAGGACCAAATAAAGTTAATCGTTTATCAATAACATCAATTTTAGCTAGACCTTCTTGATTGACTTGTAAATTACCAAATTCATCACCAACATAAGATGTTTGATCTTTTGATGTATTTGAAACTTGTTTTTCTGGATTAAAACGATTACCAGTTGATACAGGACCATTTGTTAAATCACCAAATTCATGTACATGTATAGAATATTTACGATCAATTGGTAAACCTTGTATTTCACCTGTTATTTTCATTTGATTCATACCAATCATTTGAGCAAAATGTAATACTCCTTGAATAGTATTATTTTCACCACCTTTAAGAACACATACAGCTCGAACAGTAGCCGAATCTTGTTGACTTGGCATTATTTTAATAGAGTTTTGTATCTAAAAACTAATAAAATTTATTTATTAAAAGTCTTGCTTATTTTTGATTAAAAAAAAACTATCAATAAAAAAAAAGTAAAAACATAACTTGTTATCAAGTGTTTTCTTCTAAATTGAATATATTCTAAACAAATTAAATCTAGTTCAACCTATCAAAATCATTTCTACTTGTTTATCAATCGTTTACATGCAATATTTTGTTTGTAAACATCGTTTATTACATTATCAGAACTATTTTCATTTTGTTTAAATTTAAGTCTGGTAATTTCCAGAATTAAATCATAATCAATTTAAGAAAAACCTTTTTCTTATAGTTTGTATCCATTTACAAACTTCTTTTTTTTTCTTATCTGTCCAAAAAACTCAACAGTTTCTATGATGTAATCCATATTTTACCAACTCTTACAATAAACATTCTTGTTCCAATCTAAAATGATGTAATATGTCTACGAAAGAAAAGAAAAAGACTATCTTTCATTGAACACAAAAATCTCGAGTCCTTTTTATTCAAACATCACAAACAATGAAGCAAGCTTGAATTAACAACAAAAAAGAAAACAATGTTTAATTTGAAAAAACCATCGCGAATAGTGAATAGGACATAGTTTTTTCTTGTTTAAGATTAAATGAATAATATATGGGTGAAAATTAAAGAGGTCCAAAATATAGCTAGACTAATTTCGATCGAAGAAGATGTTTATTTGATTGAATTACTTTTTTTCTGGATTGACAGTACCAATAATACCACAAGCTAAACGTTTTCCAGCGTTACCAGTTTTTTTCGATTCTTCATCACCACCACGACCCAAATCATCTGGTTTTTCATGAACAACCAGACAACGACCAAGAATTGAATTTTCACCTTGAAGAGATATTATTTTATCTTTGATGTTCACTGTTGCTACACCATTACCATCTGTTTGAACATTTCCTAAATCACCCACATGTCTAAAACAAAAAAAGAGAACAAAATCGATTTAAAAAAAAAATAAAATAAAACAAAAGAGACAAGAACTAATTTTACCGCTCAGCATCATTAGGACCAGCATGTTGTTTTTTATTTGGATTGAAATGTGCACCAGCTGATGTACATCCCTATAAAATGCAATATATAAATCTAAATCGATCAAAACATAAAACTTACATTGCTAACATCACCAAATTCATGAACATGAAAGCCATGTTGTGTATTCTCTCCAAGTCCTTCAATTTTTCCTGTAACAACAACTGTATCACCATTTTGTTCAAAATCAACAACGCCATAAACTGGTTTTTTTGATGACCCAACTGTCGTACTCGCTTTTCCTTCACTCGATGTTGCTCCACCACCACGACCCCATTGATCTTGATTACCAGCAACATGAACTTCATCACCAATCAATACAGCTTTAGCTCGTAAGGTAGTCATATTTAGTAATGATAAAACTCTCAAATAATTATCTGAAACTGTAAGACAACAAATAGAATATATAAAGTGTACTCAGTAACATATAAAAGAGGGTAGTGCCCTTGTCACCCCAACCAAATGAATGACTCATTCAATTTTAAAGATTTATTGGCGATTTAAACAGACGAATAGAAATTAAAGGAAACACACACAATAAATAAATATTTATAAAGTTTAATAGAAGTTTGTATTAAATTTTATTTCCTTGTTAATAAGAAAATTAGGTCTCAATCGATATAATATAATATATAAAGAGAAGACCTTCTCCTAAAATCTTTTTCTAATGATTGGCAACACAGACGTAGCGATGGAGATATGGATACTTTTGATTACACACGCCTCCTTCTCCCTTACGTAATGCTGTGTTAGCCAATGTGTATAGAGTTTGAAAACGAACCGAGATATGCACCTCGTACTTTAACAAAATTTTTATTTTATCTCAGCAAAAATCGTTCTTTTTATTGAGAAAAAAGGATCGTCGAATAAAGAAAAAACAATTCACATCTTTTCACTTTCTAAAATTTCTATGTGCATCTTTTCAACTCTTAGAAAAATTTTCTTCCGTGCCCTCTTCCTTCTTTCTCTTCGCTTGTTTTTTTTTCTTCATCATATTTCTGATTGATAAATTCATCTTATCCATGCTTTAGATATGTTAATCTAGTTGTTTAATAAAAAGTTTTCAATAATTTCTTCAATATGTTTTGATTTAGCTTTCATATTAGCAAGTTCATTTTTAAATTGTTCAGTTGAATTTTCATCATCTAAAAATAATAATATAGATTTATGATTTATTTCTAAACTGAAATTTATACTAGTGATAGATGTTTTTATTGTTGATTGTGATGAACGTTTCAATTTTGTTCGATCATCATTTAAATTATATGCTATTGAAATATCTGATTCTATCATTATTTCTTCTATTGTTCGTTGATAAACAGGTTTGACATCTTCAATTTTTGTTTCATATTCATTCTCTGTTGTATTACTTCTACTCGATGTACTTTGAATAGTATCATTATCCGAAGAAGTCTCAATAGAAGATGAATTAGAAGATATATCAAAATTGTCTATAGAAATTTGTGATAATG